ACGCACGCACGCACACACACACACACACACACACACACACGCGCGCACACACACACACACCGGTACAGCTATCACTACGGGGACCTGGCATCGACTTCTATTATCTTCTGCAGCCTAACCCTGACCACCAACACGAACCTCACAGGTAACCTACCTGACCCTAAAACAAACCTAAACCTTGGTCCTAAACCTAACCCCGACCCACCAACAGCGTTTCCCCTTATGGACTAGACTTAGGTCCCCATAAGTACTCAGGCACACATAAGTACCATTTAGGTCCCCATTAGTACCATTTAGGTCCCCATAAGCACCATTCAGGTCCCCATAAGCACCAGTCAGGTCCCCATAAGCACCAGTCAGATCCCCATAAGTACCAGTCAGATCCTCACGAGTACCAGTCAGATCCTCACGAGTACCAGTCAGATCCTCATAAGTACCAGTCAGATCCTCATAAGTACCAGTCAGGTCCCCATAAGTACCAGTCAGGTCCTCATAAGTACCAGTCTGGTCCATGTAATTACCAGTCAGGTCCCCATAACAACCGTTCAGGTCTCCATAACTACCAGTCAGGTCCCCATAACAACCACTCAGGTTCCCATAAGTACCAGTCAGGTCCTCAAAAGTACCGTCAGGTCCTCAAAAGTACCAGTCAGTTCCATGTAAGTACCAGTCAGGTCCCCATAAGTAACATTGGGTCCCCATAAGTACCAGTCAGGTCCCCATAACWACCAGTCAGGTCTCCATAACTACCAGTCAGGTCTCCATAACAACCACTCAGGTCCCCATAAGTACCAATCAGGTCCTCATAAGTACCAGTCAGTTCCATGTAACTACCAGTCAGGTCCTCATAWGTACCAGTCAAGTCCTCATTCAGGTCCCCATAAGTACCAGTCAGGGCCCCAAAAATAGGTGTGTAGGCCAAAAAAATACTTTCCCACAAAGTAGGGAATACCAGTCCCCCCACACACACACACACACACACACACACACACACACACACACACACACACACACACACA